TGCTAATACGTCCAGCTATGATCATTATGTTTTGCAATCATAGGATAGGGAGCGATGTGAGCAGTCCAACGATGCTCCTACAGGCTTCATTCTTCCTTTGTGGAAGATACTAAAGTCATCAGATGAGCCATCTGTTCTGAGGTAGAACACGATGAGTCGGTGGTAGTTCACAGGAGAGAGTTGATAGTGATGAAGTCACTTATCTCTTTCATTTGGGCTCACCTGCTGGTACGAGGTCAGTTCACTCCTCGTAGTGTGAGGTCATGCATGCACTACCCTACCTGTTTTGGGAAATTCCACTATCCCTCTTTGATTCAAGAGCTTCTCTGTGATTCGGTCATTGTGAGAGATGTCGTCCTATTCTCTTACGGGCTACTCATGCCCGTGCCACAGAGGTGGCACTGGCATGAGATTAAGCAACTGTCCGTGCTTAATCGTTATTAATCAATCAGGTGTGTTCTGAAAGGAAAGAGTACCAGGTGAGTACTAAAGGTGCAGAATACAAGTATGTGTTGTTCGTCTTGAATTCCAGGCCAATACTTTAAGATCGGAATAGCATATGTGTACTCTAGAGGCTGAGTTTCAATGTATTCTGTAGAAGCGTAGTGTCAGGTATGTACTCTAGGGTCTGAGTGACAGTGGAAGAGTACAAGGAATATTGATGGTGGCTTATCATTCTCCGAGCATATAAAGGGAGGGTTGGCAACTGGATGCTGGCGGGATTCACCAATTAAATCTCGTTAATTCAACTTGCCAATGGCCAGACGTCTAATAAATATGACTTAATTACCTGTATATTGTATCCCTTGGCAGTTATGTCGGGGCCTCCAGCGGTTTGCTGTCAATTACAACTTATACTTACGGCTGTCCATCTCTTCTTAAGGACTCTCCTGTATCGGCCGTTTCCACAGGTCGTTCAACCTATCAATACTCTACCCAACACGGATGGACGATCTTCACGGTTGCTGTGTTTATTACCATATTTCCTGTCTTACTGACCGGCTGGCAGCTCAGAATACATTATTCGCATGGAATGTCTGTGGCCTCAAGATGCGTGTATCATCGACCCTGAATGTGGATGGAATTAAATGGCACTTGTGAGTTCCTCAATGCACTCCGCCCGCCACTAGCGCATGTGAAAACTATTATTATCCACGTGGTATCAAACACCAGAACCTGCTTAACCAATGTAATCCAACCTTATCCCTGAAAACACAACATAACCTCAACGTTTATCGAACGATAGTTATTTCGTTATTGCAACTTTGCATTGAAGCCACAGACCTCAAAAAGAAAAGAATTGGCTCCTGTTGTGTCTGCTAGAATGAGTGCATTGTTGATAAGGTAATCTCATACCACACTAGGAGATGCATATTCTAATTTTTGGAACAAGACCAGAGGGACCGAATTAAATATTTGGGGATAATGCACTTAGAAAACGCTACTGAATATTAACCTAAATCCGAATTGCTATGTGGTTATATTTTATCACAGACTCTTGACTATGTTTTCCTTGCAAGATGATATACCATAAAAGAGTCCATCTATTTATATATTCAATTTGAATAAGAGATTGCAAACAAAACACAAGTTTAATATATCAGTACGTACGGTATTTCACGTCTTAGTTGAATGGACTACTTGAGAGGCTAAACTGAACGGCTTGTCAGTGTGACACAGGTGAACTGGTTGTCAATATGACAGATATTGACATATATACCTTATGTAATATATGTCAATATGGCAGAGTGAACTGGTTGTCAGTATGGCACAGTGAATTGGTTGTCAGTGTGGCAGAATGAACTGGTTGTCAGTCTCTTACACTCACCCCGTTACATAGGCTGAACACAGACAGACGGGGAAATGTCCCATAAATTTCGATTCTGAAGATCGTGGTCAAAGTGAAATTGAGAATATAACAGTTCTAAGAAGCTGATTAATGTAATGACACGTGGTATCAATTAATTGATTAATGTAATGACAAAGACCACCTTCAGTGTTTGGTTGCATTGCCAAGGTCAGACAACACGCAGCATTACAAAACTTAAAGATACTGACTGTTGAAAAATTGCACCAGATTTATCTGCGGGAGCATATCTTTTCGTGTCCAACCTTGTTTACACCCTCGCCTTACAATATATGTACTTGCTGAGTCTGGTCAACTTCAGCCGATGACACTGACTGTATATATCAACTGTTCAGTGATGCTGTACTCTTAAAGTCTATAGCAGAGACCTTTAAGACAGTGTTCGAGTTCTGGTTCTCGCTGAGTGATATAATGGATATACTTGAGTTTTCGTCTCTCTCTTGGGCAGGAATATTGGATGAACAGATGCTATCAACACCTTCTGTCATGCAATGCACTAGTAAACAGTTGTTATACACTAGCAAATGCTCACTAGAAAAGAACTACCACTAAATGAACACAAAAATATATCAGTGATGCAACATCTTAGTTCCAACAATGTGCCCAAGAAAGTCACGATTACACAAAGTAATGAGAGTAGGATAGATATAAGGACATAGAGAGTAGGACATAGATAAGGACATAGAGAGACAGACCGACAGAGATTAGACATGCAGAGAAGGTAGAATATCACGACAGAGAAGGATCTAAGCATATAGCAATGATCCTGAAATTCTTAAAACACGCCATTTGAGCAGATAGAAAAGCAATTGACAGGTATTGCGTAGCGGCCCCTGCTAGGCTTCATATCTAATGTACAGCGCCTTCTAGTACTGAAGTAGTAGTAAGTATAGCGATTTACTGCCTGGTATTTAGCGCTTCATGCTAGAATTGATTCTTGGAGTCAGCGACTTAGAGGAAGAAAGTGGCGCAACAAGACGAACATTGCAGTTGTCTCTGCAAATGCACGTTTTTTTTATCTTCCAATGACTCTGTAATGAAACTAGCTTTCACCTTTTTTCAGGGTGAAATGGGCAGGGTAACCATTGCTTCCATTGTTCAAATATCGGTTTGAAGAGTTTCAGAGTTAATGGTTCCGTGGAATCAGACGAATCCATTTGGCGTGTAATAACAACACTCAATTTATCAGCAACAAATAATGCTTCATATCAATAAAAGTCATGCACAATCCACGCTAATCTTGTGCTCGATCCAAAATGTGATTACTTAAGGAATACATATTCTAGCAGTAGCTTTTCTGGAACACACTTCTATGTCAGGTGCTTGAGAAAGAAAAGACATTCTTGATGAGCTGAACAGGTTCTGGTATGAACTGCGAGGAGAGAGGGCGCTGGGATGTAACTGTTCCGTTACTGCCAGCGCCCAGCAGTAATGGAACACCTCTGACATCACATACTGAGCGAGTAAATACCATTTAGCTCATCTAAAATGTTCTTTTTAATACAAACACATCCCTTATCGTCAAATATACTCTGGTCCAAACATTTCAGATCACACAATACCCCTGAAATAGAACTAGCGTGTTCATAACACCCCACACAGTCTGTTTACAAAGCTCGGTACATTGGTAGTTGTGTAAATATCATTCTTTTGCGTCTATGCATATATTCAAAACTTTACATTATATTGCAAAAACAATCAACTTCGACAAACAGGGTAATGAGCTCTCTCTCATTCACTTGGTGTTGAGGATGAATAACTTTTCAATTGACTATAAAGTGTTGTTTCATTTTCTCTTCAAATTGTTTTGCAGAATTCAAGTTTGTTACTACTCTACCACTATATACAAGTCTAAAGTACAACTTCACTTCTCACCAAATTTACCTTATTCATCCTTACATTTTGTTTTACACAAATTCTTTCTACAATATCTCACTTGAAATAAATAATAAGATAAATATTGATGATGGATTTACAGCATTTGTGTATATATAATTGAACCTTATGATAGCAGATGGTGGGTCAGGGCTGTGTGTGTAGTGAGGAATAAATATCCTTATTGTTTCAGCATTTCTGATAAATTTACAATTGGTCATATGTATTTTTATATACATGAGCGAAATTTCATTTAGACATCAGAAGTACATATATGTAGTTTACCTAATATCTAATCATATATGATAGGCATTTAATAGGCAGGATTGAAGAAGAATTTTACCGCATATGTATATATATATATATATATATATATATATATATATATATATATATATATATATATATATATATATATATATATATATATATATCATTAGGAACTCTTTTGACTCAACCCAGATAAGAAACCCCGCCCGCCCGGGATAACCTCCCCTTGGCAAAGGTACTAGATCCATTACACCAAGAGATGTCTATTGGTGTGGTGGTTATAATACCAAGTACGTCATAGGATGATCCCGACATTCTTGGCGCGGGGTTCGAATCGTGGTCTGCTCCAAAAGAGTTCTTAGTGATTCTTGGCTCGCGCGAAAACTCACACCCCAGAAGTGACTTTGCAGACCTTTCTGTGGGGACCATTCAGGCTTGTTCGCATTTGTGTTCCTCACGTGTGCCCCAAAGAATGAGGTGATTTGGTAAAATGCTATGCCCAAGATTACTATCCGAGTGCCGGCGGTGGGGTGGTTCAAATAGCCTCGGCTATCACCTCATTTTGTCCGGTCGTGACACTGGGGTGTGAGTTTTCAGTTGCATATATTCAGGCTTGTTCGCATTTGTGTTCCTCACGTGTGCCCCAAAGAATGAGGTGATTTGGTAAAATGCTATGCCCAAGATTAATATCCGAGTGCCGGCGGTGGGGTGGTTCAAATTGCCTCGGCTATCACCTCATTATGTCCGGTCGTGATGGTCAAGTGGATTAAGGCGTCTTGTACATACCAGTTGCGTGGCATCTGGGAGTATGGGTTCGAGTCACTTCTGGGGTGTGAGTTTTCAGTTTATATATATATATATATATATATATATATATATATATATATATATATATATATATATATATATATATATATATATATATATATATATATATATATATATATATATATATATATATATATATATATATATATATATATATATATATATATTGCCTGCATCCTTGTCTAACCTGTATCAATCATGAACAGACTACACTGGTAAGGAGCGTCACTGTGTAAAACTTATATGTACATTAAGAATAATATTTACCAGTTAATTAAGCAAGCAAATTTTTTTTAACACGAACCTTGTTAGTTTAGTATAGAATTTTCACTTTCTTTCTGATTTTTCTTATCTCTTACACATAGAATGTGCCGCTAGTTCTTAACTGAATTTTTCTGTCATTGTATTTAACGGAATTTTCTTAATAACTTTAGATTTTGCGATATTTTAAACTCTAATGTTTAACACAGCGTGACGTATCCCGGAACAACTGCCTTCGTGCCCTTGTCACACATCATCATCAGAACCTCTTGAAGAACACTAATATACGGGCTAAGGTCATGAACACCATCCCGTTACTCGCCTGCTCCCAGGATCACAACACCAGCCTTGTCTCTATATATACAGAAGAAGCAAACCGAGCTGCTCCCAACACTACCTACACTCGTCCACCGAGCCTCGAATCATTCATTTTTGTCTGTTCCCCGTTCGTTATCCCTTTCTTCTATTAGTTCTATTTTCTCCTCCTCACGCACGCTGTCCCGCTGCGCCACAGCTACCGTGTTTCTCTATCGCCGGTGACGGGAGACGCAGTGTGGCAGAGGGGAGATGGCGTGTGACACGGGTGATCCGGTGTGGCACTGGGGCTGGGTCATGGAGGGAGTGGGAGATGGGTTCACTAGGTGCGTTACGAAGCTCACTACAAGAAGGTATCCGGCTATAGCTTGGGCCACTGGCGTGCTGCAAGAGAAAAAATGAGAAAAGTTATATATAATAAAGCGTACAATATAAATAATACAAAGTTGGGTGGTAGGAGAAGCGAATACTTGTACGTATTCGTATATACAGCCTTTTACTATTAGTATATTTTGGTAGCAGTCTTTCTTGTACACATATGTTGTTGAATATGACCGAAAAGGTAAGATTAATAATTCTAACACGAATCTTCTCAATATTTCTTATGTTTTTCTTCACTGTCGGTGGTAATAAGTTTGTTCACCTCATGCAAAACTGTTGCAACATATCACCTCACCCAACTGCGAGTATATAAGACAAGCTGTTTAATGTTAGCATTAAGTAAAACTCTGTTTAGTGTTTTCAGGTTACAGTTGTGTGTGTGTAAACTAAAGTCTTTGAAAATGTAATAAGTTATTACGAAACGCGTTCAAGCGTCGCGTCAGACTAGAAATAAAAATAAATTTTGGAGAATTGATTTTTCTATTACCATCGACAATAAAAAGAAACATAAGAAATATTGAGAAAATTCGTGTTAGAATTATTAATCTTTCTTTTTCGGTCATATTAACAACATATATATATATATATATATATATATATATATATATATATATATATATATATATATATATATATATATATATATATGTCGTACCTAGTAGCCAGAACGCACTGCTCAGCCTACTATGCAAGGCCAAATTTGCCTAATAAGCCAAGTTTTCATGAATTAATTGTTTTTCGACTACCTAACCTACCTAACTTAACCTAACCTAACTTTTTCGGCTACATAACCTAACCTAACCTATAGAGATAGGTTACGTTAGGTTAGGTAGGGTTGGTTAGGTTCCGTCATATATCTACGTTAATTTTAACTCCAATAAAAAAAATTGACCTCATACATACTGAAATGGGTAGCTTTATCATTACATAAGAAAAAAAAAATGAGAAAATATATTAATTCAGGAAAACTTGGCTTATTAGGCAAATCGGGCCTTGCATAGTAGGCTGAGAAGTGCGTTCTGGCTACTAGGTACGACATATATATATATATATATATATATATATATATATATATATATATATATATATATATATATATATATATATATATATATATATATATATATATATATATATATATACATGTGGTTATACACCAACGTGTAATAGTTATGTTGATTATACCATAAGTTCCTATAGTTTTATGGTTATCTTTCAATACATATTTAACTATATTGATCATAATAGAGCTTAATTATGGCTTTAATTATGTTAAATTGTAACTTAGTATATTTCGGTATTTCTGAAGAACAATTTTCACTCTTGAAATTAAATTAATAACATTTATTTGTAGATCAAAGCAATAGATAAGGCCAGGCCATAGTTGGTCTGTAGATCAGACCAACTCAGTAACGGATAACATTTCTTTATGTCAGCAAACAAATAAAGCAAATGAAGAAATAAATGTTTTATAATTTGACAGTAATAATATTATTTCATCGAGGAAATATATATATGCCTTTACTATGAGCCTCATAAATATAAAAACCCTAATATATAAGCGTATAAAAAGACACGCAAAAAACATCTACAAGTCTTATTAAAACCATTTTTTTCAGCTTTTTTTTAGAAGTTTAAACATGGTGAGAGAAGCAGGTCTCATACGCTGGTGATAACAGGAGAGAGTTGGGGCGGTTGGGCCACCGAGCACATGATCCCAGGGAGTTACCTAAGCTGTTTAAAAGTTGGCGCGCTAAAAAAACTGCCTCGTAAAACACAGAGGGACGGCGGCTGCGTTAGCTATAATGACCTTTATTATTCAAGAGCTTTAGGGCGAGAAGGCCATAAATTGGCGGCCGGGCGGTAGGCTTATATTGAGAGCTTTCTTAAGGGCGTTTAGAGTGGTTGACAGACGCTGATTTCCAAACTTTCAGCCGTGTCAGGGGTCGTTTGCATGTGTTTACGCTGCGATTTAATAGTTTTTAATCTCTTTAAGCTTGTGTTTGCGACGGGTAATATTCATTTTTTGTTGATCTGTGCTTCATTGCTCATGACGTTAGGTATTAAAGTTTTGTGACAATATTTAGGTTCTCGAAAGCATTTCAACATTTTTGACAGTTAATACACGAATAAATTACATATTCAAATAAACATAAAACGCATTTGCAGATACAATACTCTCTCTCTCTCTCTCTCTCTCTCTCTCTCTCTCTCTCTCTCTCTCTCTCTCTCTCTCTCTCTCTCTCTCTCTCTCTCTCTCTTTATATATGTACATAAACACACACACACACACACACACACACACACACACACACACACACACACACACACACACTCACTGGACTACTAATAATGAGGGGATTTCAACCACGTGAAGATTGATTGGGAGAACAAAGACCCGTATGGAGGACCAGATACATGGAGAGCTAAGCTGCTGGACGCGCGGCAACAAGAATCTTTCTTGGCCAGCATATCAAGGGACCGACAACAATGAGAGGGGAGGATGAACCAGCTTTGCTTGATCTGATATTTACCCTAAATGAGTGGGATATAAAGGAGGTTAAGATGGAGGCGCCCTTAGGAATGAGTGATCACAGTATATTGATCTTTGAGTACTTGGTAGAGCTAGGACTTATCTCCCCCCAAAAAGAACTAGAAAACAAAAGACTGGCATACCGAAAGGGGAATTATGAGGGGATGAGATGTTTCCTAAGGGAGATACCATGGGACACAGACCTCAGAGCTAAGTCTGTACAAGATATGATGGACAATGTCACCCAAAAGTGTCAGGAGGCAGTAAACAGGTTTATCCCGGCCCAAAGGGAAAAATCCGAGAAGCAAAAGAAGAATCCATGGTTTAACAGGGCATGTATGGAAACAAAGGTACTGAACAAAAGGGCGTGGAGGAACTTCCGAAATAACAGAACACAAGAAAACAGAGAGGGATACCAGAGAACCAGGAATGAGTATGTAAGTGTGAGAAAGGAAGCAGAGAAAAGTTATTAAAATGATATAGCAAGCAAAGCCAAGACCGATCCAAAGCTACTCCACAGTCACATCAGGAGGAAAACATCGGTGAAAGAACAGGTAATGAAGCGTAGAACAGGCGAGGACAGGTATACAGACAATGACAAAGAGGTGTGTGAGGAACTCAACAAGAGGTTCCAGGAGGTCTTCTCAATAGAACATGGTGAGGTCACTGCGCTAGGAGAGGGGGGGCAGTAAACCAGGGGCCTTGGAAGGGTTCGAAATTACGAGAGATGAGGTCAAGAGACACCTGTTGGATCTGGATGTGAGAAAGGCTGTTGGTCTAGACGTGATCTCACCTTGGGTATTGAAAGAGTGTGCAGAGGTACTCTGCTTGCCACTCTCCATAGTGTATAGTAGGTCACTGGAGACGGGAGACCAACCAGAAATATGGAAGGCGGCTAATGTGGTCCCAATATACAAAAAGGGTGACAGACAAGAGGCACTGAACTACAGGCCAGTGTCCTTAACTTGTATACCATGCAAAATGATGGAGAAGATCGTGAGAAAAATCTAGTAACACATCTGGAGAGAAGGGACTTCATGACAAATCGCCAACATGGGTTCAGGGAGGGTAAATCTTGCCTTACTTGGTTAATAGAATTCTACGATCAGGTGACAAAGATTAGGCAAGAAAGAGAAGGCTGAGCAGACTGCATTTTTTTGGACTGTCGGAAAGCCTTTGATACAGTCCCCCATAAAGAGCTGGTACATAAGCTGGAGAGACAGGCAGGAGTAACTGGTAAAGTGTTCCAGTGGATAACGGAATACCTAAGCAATAGGAAGCAAAGAGTTACAGTGAGGGGTGAGACCTCAGATGGGCGTGAAGTCACCAGTGGAGTCCCACAGGGCTCTGTACTCGGTCCTTTCCTGTTTCTGATATACGTGAACGATCTCCCGGAGGGTATAGACTCATTCCTCTCAAAGTTTGCTGATGATGCCAAAGTTAAGAGAAGGATTGAGACAGAGGAGGACTGCTTGAGGCTTCAAGAAGATCTAGACAAACTAAAGGAATGGTCGAACAAATGGTTGTTAGAGTTTAACCCAAGCAAATGTAATGTAATGAAGATAGGTGTAGGGAGCAGGAAGCCAGTTACAAGGTATCATTTGGGAGATGAAATTCTACATGAGTCAGAGAGAGAGAAAGACTTGGGGGTTGATATCACGCCAGACCTGTCTCCTGAAGCCCATATCAAGAGGATAACATCAGCAGCATATGCCAGGTTGGCTAACATAAGAACGGCATTTAGACACTTGTTCAAGGAATCATTCAGAACTTTGTATACACTTTGTATACCACCTATGTCAGACCAATCCTGGAGTATGCTGCCCAAGCATGGAGTCCATATCTAGTCAAGCATAAGACCAAACTGGAAAAAGTTCAAAGGTTTGCCACCAGACTAGTACCCGGGCTGAGAGGTATGAGCTACGAGGAGAGACTACGGGAATTTAACCTCACATCGCTAGAAGACAGAAGAGTTAGGGGGGATATGATCACCACGTACAAGATTCTCAGAGGAATTGACAGGGTAGATAAAGACGGGCTATTTAACACAAGGGGCACACGCACTAGGGGACACAGGTGGAAACTGAGTGCCTAAATGAGCCACAGAGATATTTGAAAGCATTTTTTTTAGTGTCAGAGTAGTTGACAAATGGAATGCATTAGGCAGTGATGTGGTGGAGGCTGACTCCATACACAGTTTCAAGTGTAGATATGATAGAGCCCAATAGGCTCAGGAACCTGTACTACAGCTGATTGACAGTTGAGAGGCGGGTCCAAAGAGCCAGAGCTCAACCCCCGCAAACACAAATAGGTGAGTACACACACACACACACACAAACCCCCTCTGACCAACAGACCCCTTTCTGCCTCTAAGACCCCTCAGGGAAATCATGCCTAACGAACCTGCTGGAGTTCAAAGATTATATTAAAAAACAAGGCATAGATGGATAGGAGGATCACATATTTCTGC